AGACAGAAATCTTAAATAAATAAATAATAATAATAATAATAATAATAATAATAATAAACCCCAAATGATTGTTTCATCAACCTGCCTAATTTTTGACCCCTGACATCTACTAACGTGCCCTCCATTTTTGTCATTTCAAGCATGTTACAGAGATGGAATCAACACTATATAGCTCCTTAGGGACTGGTTTTGTCAGTATAATCCCCAGAAGTGTCAACAGTTTCCGTTCCTTCTGAGATTCATCCAGTGGCATCGACTCTGTGGCACGGGTGTGCCACGTCCTTATCTCGTCCCCCTGGGGAAGAACACCTGCGCTGATTTTAGTTTCCAGCTTTTGCAAATAAGCTTGCTGTGAAAGTTTGTGCATAAGAATTTGGGAGAACATAAATTTTCATTTCTCTGGGAAATTTCTCCAGGAGTGTAATTGCTGGGTTGCCTGTTTAGTTTTCAGAAGAAACTGCCAAACTCCTTCCCAGAGCACCGGTACCACTCCATATTCCCAGCCTCCTTTTTTTTTTTTTTTTTTTTTTTTTTTTTTTTTTTAAATAACGCAGTTTATCTTCTGTTCATGGAATTCTAATTGGTCTAAATGAACTGTGATGTGGGAAGGATTTTAGAAACCTTGCTGAGACACACAAAAATAAAGTATGTGCTGTACTAATTTGCAAGAGAGAAAAATCTGTTTAACAAAACCTTGCTATATAATAAGGTCACAAAAGAGGGCTGCATAATGACTGAGTAGAGTTATTCTGGATTTTCAGAGAAGCCTTTGTTAGAATTACATACGAACCAGCACTACTTAAAATCAAAGCTACGGGGATTAAGGAAGAAATATAAAGAATCAAAGATCTAATTCACTGTGAACTGAGCAGCCCACTTTATGCCTGAATTCTCATGTCCTTAAGCAGCTGCCTGCTGCAAGCTGCAGCCTGAGCTGGCCCACACTCTCCTTGAGGTCACTGCTTTCCCACACCTTCTTTGATGTCTTAGAACTACCTGGGTAGACTGGAGGCAGTGAGGGGCCAGGGTTGAGGAGGATGCTGAGAGCAAAGGTATCAATCACTTCTTCTCTGTTTTCTGTCACAGGGTGCTTTGGAATTAAAGATTAATTTGCTTCTTATCCTGGAGCCAATAAGCATCTATGACTAATTATAACAGGTACAGTCACAGCTGCCACTCTTGAGTGTCTGCTCTGCTCTAGGAGCTGTGAGAAAATTACATCTATGTAACTTTTAAAAGAGGTTTTTGAGAGAAAAAAAATGAGGAACCTTAGTCAACTATATGCACTTATTAGAATACTCTGTAGAAACAAACTCAAAATACATTATCGATTTCCACACTATCAATGCTCTTAGAGACTCTTAATTTGTATCTTTGTCCATTCCTGTTTGGTTTGGTTTGGTTTCTGTGTTTGGAGACAGGAGCTTGCTATGTAGCCCAACTGACCCAACACCACTTCTCCTTCCACAACTCCCAAGTGCTAGATTGGAAGCATGAGCCAGTTGATGGAGGAGGGTCATCTGTCTATCTGTTGCTTTCATTGGTTGATTAATAAAGAAAACTGCTTGGCCTGATAGCTTAGAACATCAGTGGGTGGGGTGGACAGAACAGAATGCTGGGAAGAAGGGAAGTGAAGCAGATGCTATAGCTCTCTCTCCAAGATGGACGCAGCTTAAGATCCTTCCGGTAAGCCACCACCTCGTGGTGCTACATAGACTATTAGAAATGGGTTAATCAAGATGTGAGAGTTAGCCAGTAAGAGGCTGAAACTAATGGGAGTGTTTAAAAGAATACAGTTTCCATGTTATTATTTTGGGTAAAGCTAGCCAGGTGGCGGGAAGCAGCCTGCTGCTCCTATTTCAACAGCCAGTGTGTTTGTCTTATCTTAGTGAATCTCTTTTTCTGAATTTAATCTTTTTAATAATTTCATTAGTACTGTATTTACATTATTTCCACCCCACTCTCTCTTCTAACTCTTTTTGTGTATTAAGATAGTAATATAAAATAATATATATTTAAGCAAGCTTATAAAATTTTATATTTCCCTATGGTTTCCCAAACATCTTTAGTGTGAGTTAGCTTTCCTCTCTCCTCTTTCTTGGTATCACCCTCTCTTCCCACTCTACCCCTCGTTCTTTGCATTTCCACCTTCACAGCTCACAGACACCCCCCACTGAGTTTTTATTCTCCATTCTCTCCCTTCATGGTCTCTTTTTCCTTTCATAACTTCTGTGGTTATTCCAGGTTATGTACTCAGATCTAAAGATTCGGAGCTAGGATCCACACACAAGAGAGTGCATGAGGTGTTTGTCTTTAGGGGTCTTGATTACCCCACTGAGGTTAATATTTTCTAGTATTCACCTATTCTTAACGCTGTGTTCACCACGATTCATGTCAGCTTACCAGTGGTTAGCAGGAGGATCCTGACTTAGGGTATGGATACAATACAATAATCATAATTACATTTTTATCATGTCATCATTGTTATCTGGCAGGAATGAAGATATTCTCAAGAGACACTCACATCTTTCCCTTTGGTCAATAGACTCCCAAGACAATGGACCCCAGCGAATTGGATTTTCACACTGAAAGAACAAAAGACTGAATTCTGGTACTATCCAGAGAAGAAGCTTGTCTCCAGGAAGAGACTGTACCAAGTTTTGGCAGTTTGTTAGATCACTGTCACAAGAGTAGTGGATTCATGATTGGCAGGACCACAGATTAACCCAGGACTGTTCAGTTATGCAGACTTCTTGCCCTCTATTTAAATCTAAACCTCATGTCAAGACCTCAGAAGATGGGCTTGGGGACTGTCTCTGGACTCTTTGTTCCTCTTCCCAAGGGAACCACATTGAATAAATCTTTCTCTGCTTTTAATTCTAACTTGTCTATTGAATTTGACTACTGAGTGCTGGTTTGGCTTGTTACAACTGCCAAAACTCATGCTTTAACCCTAAAAACTGATATCACTATGGCTTTCTTTCATATGCCATATTTTCTGCTAAGAGATTTACATAGAAAGTCATGATTCCAAACAATGACCTAACATAATATGGAATTATTATGACTGTAAACGTAGCCATACAGACAGATGAGGTGGTATGATTATCTATGATGGTACACCTGTGTTGTTGAAGGTTTCTATCCTGCCTGGTCCTAAGGCCATTCAGTGACAACGAAACACACAGAGGCTTATATTAATTATAAATTGTTTGGCCTCTTAGCTCAGGCTTAATTATTAACTAGTTATTACAACTTAACCCATAATTCTTATCTATGTTTATTCATATGGCTTGCTACCTTTTTTCAGTAAGACATTCTCATCTTGTTTTTTTTTTTTTTTTTTTTTTTTTGCATCTGGCGAATGACTGTATCTCTGCCTTTCCTCTTCCCAGAATTCTTCTATTCTGGTTCCCCTGTGTATACTGCCTTCATGGCTACTGGCCAATCAGATTTTATTAAACCAGTACAAGTGATAAATTTTTACACTGTACAAGAGCATTATCCCACAGCACACCTGGAATAAAAGCAGTGATCTCTCTAGATCTACATTATTATGTTGTCTTTTTGCCTCTTAGCCTCTTCATGTGTATATGTCAGTGTGAACACTTACACATGTTCACACTTCAAATATTAGAGATATTAAAGACTTGAGCTTTTAGTTTTGAAACATGGCTGAGATGATTGCATGGAATTTATAAGTCCAGTTTCAGCAAAAGTGTATCTGTAAATAAATGACGTAAAAGATTGCATTGATAAGCTTTCTTTCATTTAAAACATATTTTGAAAAATATAAATGTGTCTTGGGAATAGTAGGATGAACACATTGCTTTAACGTCTTATTATAACAACAGTATTAAAATGACTTTAACAAATTTTAAATCTTTGAAGAAAGAAATTGAAGAAGAGGCCAGAAAATGGAAAGATCTCCCATGTTCTTGGATAGAATTAACATAGTAAAAATGGCAATCTTACCAATAGCAATCTACAGATTCAATGCAATGCCCAGCAAAATCCCAGCAAAATCTTTACAGATCTCAAAAGAACAATACTCAACTTCACATGGAAAAGCAAAAATACCAAACAAACAAAAAACAAAAAAACAAAAAACCAGGATAGCCAAAACAATCCTGTACAATAAAGGAACTTCTGGAGGCATCACAATCCCTGGCTTCAAACTCTACTACAGAGCTACAGTACTAAAAACAGCCTTGTATTTACATAAAAACAGACAGGAGGACAAATGGAACAGAATCAAAGACCCAGATATCAATCCACACATCTAAGAACAACACCTGATTTTTGACAAAAAAGCAAAAAATATCAAATGGAAAAAAGAAAGCATGTTTAACAGCTAATGCTGGCATAGCTGGATATCAACATATAGAAGAATGAAAATAGATACATATCTATTGCCATGCACAAAACTCAAGTCCAAATGAATCAAAGACCTCAACATAAAGCCAACCACACTGAACCTCATAAAAAAAATGGAAAGTACACTTGAAGGCATTGGCATAGGAGACCACTTCCTAAATATAACCCCAGTAGCACAGACACTGAAAGAAATAATTAATAAATGGGATCTCCTGAAACTGAGAAGCTTCTGTAAAGCAAAGGACATGGTCATCAAGATAAAATGGCAGCCTACAGAATAAGACAACATCTTACTACCTCCACATCAGACAGAGGGCTGATCTCCAAAATATACAAAGAACTCAAGAAATTGATTATTAAAAGAACAAATAATCCAATAAAAATGGGATACAGAACTAAACAGAGAACTCTTAACAGAGGAATTTAAAATGGCTGGAAGACACTTAAAGAAATGATCAAATCCTTAGCCATCAGAGAAATGCAAACCAAAACAACTCTGAGATTCTCTTATACCTGTAAGGATGGCAAGATCAAAAACACTAATGACAACTTATGCTGGAGAGGTTGTGGGGTAAAAAGGGAACACTACTGCATTGCTGGTGGGAATGCAAGCTGGTACAGCCTTTTTGGGTGTCAGTGTGGAGATTTCTGAAAATTAGGAAACAATCTACCTTAAGATCCAGCAATACCACTTTTGGGAATATATCCAAAGGACACTCAATTGTACCACAAAGACATGTGCTCAACTATATTTATAGCAGCATTGTTTGTCATAAGCCAGAACCTAGAAATGCACCTTGACTCAAGAATGGATAAGGAAAATGTGGTACATTTACATAATGGAGTATCACACAGCAGAAAAAAATAATGATATCTTGAAATTGCAGGCAAATGAATGGTTCTAGAAAGCATCATATTGAGTGATGTAACCCAGACCCAGAAAGACAATTATCATATGGACTCACTCATGAGTGGCTTTTAGAAATAAAGCAAAGAAAACCAGCCTTCAATTCACAATCCTAGAGAACCTGGACAGCAAAGAAGACCCTAAGAGACACATGCATAGATCTAATGTACATGGGAAGTAGAAAAAGATAAGATCTCCTGAGTAAATTGTGAGCATGGGGACCATGAGAGAGGGCTGAAGGGGAAGGAAGAGGAAAGGAGGTGAATGGAGAAAAAAAATCTATAGCTCAATAAAAACAATAAAAAAGTGACTTTAACTTTTAAGAGTCTCCTACATAAAACAAAACCTTAGGACAATACTAGCTAATGGAATATAGCAGAAGAGCACCAGTGTGGGTCCTGTCCACTGGCGTGGCATATTCATGCTAACTAGGGCCTCTCCTATACTGCCCATCCCAATTTCTACTTATTTCTGAAGTTTCTTTGTAACTGGTTATTAAAACTCATTCACATGTGGCTAGTGCTACCTGACACCCTAGTCTACCAAGTAGGAGCTTCCCACTCCTTCTCTTTCCTATTGGTTTCATCATGGACCCTTAATATTTATGTTGATTGATGGTGAGTGAGTGAAAGATCATTTTCTTTCCTCGTGATTCACATTCTGAGTATTTTTTCTTCTTAACTTCTTCATTATCTCCTAGAACAGCTCTTGGGGGTATCTGGTTAAAAGGATGACTTTGGGGTTTGTCAATTGACCTTCCTATTTAGTTCACTTTAGTGGGGTTTCAGTCTCTGTGCCAGTGACTCTGATGTACACCCAGGGCAGATAGATGGACAGCATCTGATATTCTAGTAGAGAACACAGTAGAAAACAAACAAAAGTAATGTGAGATAAACCTGTGCAAGAATAACAAAATCCATCCCAGTAGGTTTTCAAAGGAGCTGAAGAAAAGATGGCTTCCTCTAAGAAATGACAGCTGGACAGTTTTTAAAATATTTATTATTTTACATGTAAAAATATTTTGCCAGAATGTACGTATGTGTACCATGTGTTTCCACAACCTCAAGAAGTCAGAAAAGAGAATCAAAAGTGGCACAAGAATCCCTGGAGTTGGACTTACAAGCAGATGTGAGCCACAATGTGAGTGCTGGGAACTGAACCTGGGCCATCTGCAAGAGCAGGAAGTGCTCCTAACTGCATAGCCATCTCCATTTCCCCATCCCTATGGGTTGTCTTCATTTTTAAAAAATTCTCTCAACAACTGTTATTTATTATAAGAGTTTATTGAGAATTATAGACATTAATATTCTATGCTTTGACCAAATCCACCTTCCCATTTCCTTCCCTCCAACTCTTCCTATATTCCTTCACCTCCCCCGCCCCCTTCATATACTCTTTTTTTTCTCATTTGTGGTTGTTGGCTTTGAATTATCAGATGTGTGTCTTTCTGATGGAATGCTCATTTATGTGAGTAAATTACTAAAGGCCCGTGGTTGTAGTGGGGATCAAGGCAGGGGAAATAGAATACAGTGGCATACAGAGTGAAAGGGGATAATGGGACAGGAAGGGTTAAATTGAGGTGTGGGTGGGAGAGCAGAGTAAAGGAAGGAATATGAAGAGAGACAACAACATTTTTTTAGAAACATCATATAGAAACATACTATTGTAGAGAGATGCATACAATATCTACACATATGATATCTATACATATATGCACAATATATACATACACATATTTAAAATGGAGCTGCCCTATTATAGGAACAATGATCTGACTAGACATCAGAGGACTGGAAAATAAAAAAGCCCATCATCAAAAACAGGTTACTTCTTTTGGATTTGTTGGTTAATGGGTTTCCATAGATCCCCAAACACTGTAAGATATTGGCATTGCTCTTGGTTATCTCTAGAATTGTATGATAAGGCCCCCCTTGCTAAAGATATCACATATGTATGACATGATAAAAATAAGATTTATGGGCCTTCTGAATAGCTTTCATAGTTATGGAAGGTGCTTTGCACCTAAAGAGAACATTAATTAATCTTACCCAACTGTGAACCCTGTATGCTATGATAATGACTCGCTTGGCAAGACAAGCCCACTGGTGCAGCAGTGATCTTAATAATATGTGTTCCAGTGGTAGTTTGAGAAATCACAGTCCCCATAGGCTCTCGTGTTCAAATATTTGGTTGCCAGTTGGTAGAACTGTTTGGGGAGGATTAAGTGGTGTGGTTTTGTTGGGAGATGTGTGTCACTGGGGGGTGGGCTTTGGGATTTCAAAAGACTCATGCCTCTTCCTGTTGCTCAGTCACTACTCCTTGTTTGTGGATTTGGATGTGAACTCTCAGCTGCTGCCCTCGTGCCAACATGCCAGTTGTTTGCTGCCACAATGTTTGCTATGATGGACTTTAGTCCTCTGAAACCATAAGCCCATCTGAATACTTTATAAGTTGTTTTGGTCATGGCGTTTTGCCTAGCTATAGAAAAGAAACTAATACAAGCCACCATGACGTCAGTTGAAATTTATATTGAAAATTTTTTTCTTTTTCAATTATGTGT